TTTTTTTTTTTTTTTCACGAATCCTTTCAAATAACAGTGTAGTATTTCATGAGTAGTGGGAGTACTTGATGATAAAAAAAAAATCCTTAGTCCTTTTTCTAGTCCCTTGTATCTTGCTGCTATTCATTTCACTTATATATGAACATGTGTAAGCGTAAAATATACATAAGACATGTATGTAGGCATATATAACCCAACACGTTACTATTATTTTGAACATACTAATTTGTTTGATTAATAAGTAAGTGTTCATTGTATCTTTACGTTTTTTTCCTTTATTGCTCTTCCTTTATGTAGTTCTGAATTTCTACCTTACAGTATTTCTTTTTCTCTAAATAACTTCTTTTAATATTTCTCAAAAGACAGGTCTAGTTACAATAATTTTCCCCAATTTTTTGTTTGTCTTAGTATTTTGTTTTAACTTGTGAAGGAGAATTTCATAGGGTACAGAATTCTAGGTTGATTTTTTTTCTTTTCTCTTTAAAATTTTCACTATACTCTTTTCTTGCTTCCATGGCTTCTGAGAAGGCAGATGTAATCCTTATCCCTGCTCCTCTCTATGTAAGGTGGTTTTTTCCTTTGGTTTCTTTCAAGATTTTTTCCTTATATTTCTTTATACTTATATTTTTTTTAGTATAAAAATATGCCTAGGTGTAGTTTTTTGATTGATTGTTTGCATTTATTCTGCTTGATGTGCTCTGACCTTTCTGGATCCATGGCTTAGTGTCTGACATTAATTTGGGGAAATTGTCAGTCATGCTTGTTTAAAATCTTCTGTGCTTTTCTCTTTATTCTGATATTCCTGTTATGCATATGGTAATTTTTTGTAGTTGTACCACAGCACTTGATTGTTCTGTTATTTTGGTCTTTGTTCTCTGCTTTATGTATTTTTATGACTCTACTAATACATTCCCCAGCTCAGGGATTAATTTCCTCAACTGTGTCTGTATCCTAATAAGCCCATTAAAGGCATTCTTGTTACAGTGTTTCTGATCTTCAGTATTTATTTTTGGTTCTTTCTTAGGATTTCCATCTCTCTGCTCACATTGTTCATCTGTTCTTGCATGTTGTTTACTTAGTCCATTATACCCCTTAGCATATTAATTGTTATTTTTAAATAATTTTGTCACTTCAAGTTGTTCTGTTTGCCTTTTGGTGTGCCATGCTATTTTTTTCCTGATAGCCAGATGTAATGTACTGGATGAAAAGAACTACTGTAAATAAGCCTGTAGTGATTTGGTTTTTAGATGTGCGGGAAAGGGAAGAGTTCTCTAGTGCTCTGATTAGCTCTCAGTCTTTTAATGATCCCATGCTTCTGGTCTGTGAACTTAAGAAGTTTCTCAGTATTCCCCCTCTCCCTGCCTTAGGGGTACAGAATAGCTAGAGTTGGGGATATTGGGTGTTTCCCTTCTTCCATATGGGATAGTAGACCTGACTGAAGTTGCTTATTTCCCTTCTCTAGGTATTTTGGCTCTGATAATACTTAATTAGGTTAGGCTCTAGTTAACTAGTTCCTCCAAGGAGCATGCTTTTTAAAGAACATAGTGCTGTGTTATATTTTTAAATGGTTCCTTTATTTTTAAATGGTTCCTTTCCTTGCCTGAAGCGTGAGGGGTTTTTTCTCCAAAGTTTATTGTGGGAATCTGGTCCAGTTCCTAGAGGTATATGTCAAAATATTATGGGGGCTCCCCTATGACTGGGTCCCCTACAGTTGTCCACTTTGAATATCCAGCAGTTCAGGAGAATGAAACAGTTCAGGTTTTCCAACCTTGGCACTGGTGGACATGGTAGTTTTCTTTCGTGAACCTCTGCTCCCTTCATAGCTTTTTTTAATTTAGAGATCAACATGTCAATAGGGTTGTTTGTGAGTTAATCTATGTCAATTCAGATCAAATCGTTGTATATTTTCTTTGATATGAATGGAATGGAATAGGAAGAAATGCAAATTGAAATTGTTTTCATTAATTTTTACTTTATTTTCAGTTTGAAAAATACTGTAAAATGTAAAATTGGATTGATAGCTAATTTTTGTCCTATCTTTTTTCATGTAGATTTGAAACCAAAATTGATTCATTTCATGTTACTGGCTTACCAGATAATTCAACAAAACCCCGCCTCCTTTCTTCATTGGATGATGCTACGTCACTCTTCCAAATTATATTTGAGATAAATCCATTAGATGAAACTGTTGCTCAAAGATGTATCATAGAAGCTGAACCTTTAGAAATGATATATGATGCAGTAAGCATTTTTTTAATCACTAAGTTTTAATATATTTCAGTTTGCTTTGAGTTTGTGCCTAATGTTAATGTTACTTATTTTAACAGAGAACAGTGAATAGTATAGTGGAATTCTTCAGACCTCCAAAAGAGGTAAATCTAGCACAGCTCACGTCAGCGACTTTGACAAAACTTGAAGAATTTCGTGACAAGACAGCAACAGGTAAATGCTAGTATTAATGTTGGTATATTAAGAATTGTATCCTAAACTAAACTTCTGGTCATGTTAAACTGATATTAGTAAGGTATACTTTAAATTTATGCTTCTAGACTAGATATAGTTTAGTTGAAACTAATGGGTACTGTTTTATTTAAAATTCAGGTATAACGATAATCATTTCTTACATCCAGAAAGGACAAACCTATTATCACATTCAAATTAATTGCATATTTTGTTAGGATTTTTGGAATTCTGTTCATGAGAGAATGAACCTGTCATTTTTCTTTCATGTAATGAACTTCAGATTTTAATGTATTGGTCACAGAAAATAAAAATGCCATCCTTTTTTATTCTTTTGCAGAATTTTTATAAGACTGGGTGTTATTTTTTCTTTCAGTATTTTACCTAATTGAACAGTAAAACCATATGGACTTGGAGATTTCTTTGTGGAAGATTTTAAATTACAGATTCCATTTTTTTTTATTTTTTTTTTTAAAGATTTTATTTATTTATTTGACAGAGAGACACAGCGAGAGAGGAACACAAGCAGGGGGAGTGAAAGAGGGAGAAGCAGGCTTCCCGCCGAGCAGGGAGCCCGATGCGGGGCTTGATCCCAGGACGCTGGGATCATGACCTGAGCCGAAGGCAGGCGCTTAACGACTGAGCCACCCAGGCACCCCACAGATTCCATTTTTAAAATATATTTTAAATATATATTTAATATATGATATAAATATATATAATATATATAAATATATATTTAAAATATATTAGATCACATAAAGGTGATCTGTAGGATTTGATTTGATTTATTTTCTAAAGATTTTATTTATTTGACAGAGAGACAGCAAGAGAGGGAACACAAGCAGGGGGAGTGGGAGAGGGAGAAGCCGGCTTCCCGCAGAGAAGGGAGCCCGATGTGGGGCTCGATCCCAGGATCCTGGGATCATGACCTGAGCCGAAGGCAGATGCTTAACGACTGAGCCAACCAGGTGCCCCAGATCTGTAGGATTTTAATGCCTTCCAATTTCTTGATACTTGCTTTCTGGCTCAGCATATGGTAATTTAAAAAAATACTTCACGTATGTTTCGCTATACATATTTTTAGGTCATATTTATCACATACTTCAAATCTTCTGTATCCTTATTGGATTTTTTCCTGTCTTCTGTCACCATATTCCAGTAGTTCTTCAGAGAAATAAATGAAAAATGTCACTGTGAATGTGCATTTGTCTATTTCTTTTAGATCTGTCATTTTTTAAATAAATTTGCTGTCAATAGGTACATGCATAATAAAAATTTTTTCTCCAATAAACCAGATCTTTTCTTTGTATGAAGTTGACTATGTGTATCTTTAGTAATGTTTTCATTTTTTTCCCCAATATTTTTATTCATTTATTTTTTCTGATAATAGTATGGATATTATAGTTTTTTCTTGGTTCGAATTTGCTTATTTATTTTTGTTGTTCTTCTTTTACTCTGTATCTTTACTTTTAGATGTGTCATAACAACATGTAGTGGGATATTTTTCAGTCTATATTTGCACACTTTTTTTCTTTTTTTAGATAAATTTTAGCATTACTTTGTTTCCCTCCACCCCCTCACTATACCATTTGAAACTTAAACGTTCTCTTTTTTTACTCTAGTATAATTACAACACATGTTTTTCTCAAGATAGAAATTTAATAAATTTTTACCCTCGGTCAGTACAAGGACTTGAGAGCAGTTGAATTCCCATTTACCATCCTCATCATTTACATGCTATTGTTATTTCTTTCTTTTACCTTTTTTTTATTTAATTCAAGTATAGTTGGTTTACAGTGTTAGTGGTAGGTAAACAACATGATTAGCCAATTCTACATATTACACGTTATTTTGTTTTTAGAGGGAGAGAGAACGTGTGCATGTGCTCCAGCTGGGTGGGGGAGGGGCAAAGGGAGAGGAAGAGAGGGAATTTTTTTTTTTGCAAGTTTCTTTTTCTAAAATTTTTTTTAAAAAGATTTTATTTATTTATTTGACAGAGACACAGCGAGAGAGGGAACAAAAGCAGGGGGAGTGGGAGAGGGAGAAGCAGGCTTTCCGCCGAGCAGGGAGCCCAATGTGGGGCTTGATCCCAGGACCCTGGGATTATGACCTGAGCCGAAGGCAGATGCTTAACTGACTGAGCCACCAGGCGCCCCAAGATTGTCTTATCTTTTCTGTTCTGTAGTTTCAGTGTAATATATCCAGCTGTGGACCATTCTGAGGATTGGTAGGTTGAATGAATTTTAGAAAATTCATCTTGAAGATTTTTACCCATTAACTCTTCATACACTTCTCTTAAATCTTTTCTTCTGGAACTCTGGATTAATGTATTTTAGCCTTCCTTACTCTACCTTTTATTCTTCTATATCCTGTTTTCTTTCCTTTTTTTTTTTTTTTTCCCTCTGTTACATGCCAGGTAATTTCTTTTATCTTCTGAATTACTGAGATCCTCTTAAACTGTGTCTAATATGCTATTAAATCTTTCGGTTAAAATTTAGTGATTATATTTTTCATTTTCAGAATTGTTTTGTTCTAAATTAAAATCTGCTTTGTTCTTTATAGTGCTTTAAATTTGTCTTTATTTCTTCAGACAGCGTAAGTGTAGTTATTTTATATTCTCTCTCACCAGATAATTCTCTATTCAGATAGTTTCATTAAACTTCTTTGTTTTTCTTCCTCCTATATTTTGTTTTGGCTGATTCTTATTCATGGTAACCTTTGTTTTTATATATTTAGGGATTTTTGATTGTGTGCTATTCATTTTTCTTGGAAAATTATTTGGGAAAATTCTCTGGAGCCTAGGTTAAGTGGACTTTCATTCCAGGAAGAATTTTATTTTCTTCTCCCAGTTGTCTTGGGTATGTTGGTGGACAGTACTTGAGATATTTTGGAATGCCAAGGAGATGTTGCGCTGTGTACCCACATGAGGACTCTATTGTGGTTACAATCATAGGGGTACTACCCCCTTTTCCCAGTTTTTCTCAGAGCCTTTCTTTCCATTCCCTGTGAGTAGATTTTAGAGAGAAGAATGTTTAACTTCTGGATTACTCTTGTCTTGAGTGTGTATCTTTTGAGATTCTAGATTTGTGAGAAGGGCCCTTGCTGGACTCCTCACCTGTGGCTTCTGTTCCCTGTGCTCTGTGAGGTTGTGAAAAGGAGTTAAGTTTACCAGGTGCAAAAAATGATCTCAGGATAAAATTTTTCTGGGCCTTATTTAAATCTGTTAGCTTATTACTCCTTCAGTTTGATGTTTGAGTTGATAAATCCTTAGTCTCTTGCCTCCTTATTGTTTCTTAGTAAGTTTTTTGTTGCTGTTTTATTTTATTTCCAACATTTTTGGTTGCTTTTAGTGGAAGAATAGGTCTTGCTACTTATATTACCAGGATTTGGAAATTTAGTTAAATGTTTTAGTTTAAGTACAAGACTTTATCTTTGTTAAAATTCATTTTTTTGTGTTTGAGTCTTATCTTTGAAGCCTTGAATAAAAGGGTATCATTTTCTGGTTAAAATCATTTAATATCAGTTGACTTCTCAGGGGTCCTTATAACCTTCTTCGTCTCATGGACAGCTTTGACAGTTGGAAGCCCTGGAATCTCTTATCAAAATTATGATTTTAAGTACATAGACTGCATAGAATTACAAAGAAAATAAATTCAATAGAACATAGTTTCAAAATATTTTTTAAGAATCTCAAATTTGTGTTAGTAGTAATGTACCTGCTTTTCTTTATGGATTAAAATAACAGGAATTAACGGTAGGTCAAAACACTAAATTTGAAGGTATAAATGAAACTTCAACATATGTTCAGTTATGTTAAGGAATATAAATGATATACAATTTGTATAAGTAACAAAGTTTGTTGCCTACCTTTATAATTGAAAGAAATACTCACTGTCAGCAGTAGTTAATGAAAATAAAAATGTAACTTTTTTCCCATTCAGGTTCATGAAATCTCTGAATTGCATTTGTGGCTGCATGATTAATTGTGCCTGATACGGTTCATATTTTCAAATTTTCTCTCAAGAAGTAAAGGCAGGGGCACCTGGGTGGCTCAGTCAGTTAAGCATCTAACTTTTGGTTTTGACTCAGGTCATGATCTCAGGGTCATGAGATCCAGCCCTGTGTCAGGGTCTGCACTTGTGGGCATGGAGTCTGCTTGAGATTTTGTCTTTCTTTCTCCCTTTGCCCCTTTTCCCCTGCTTGCATGCTCGCTTTCTCTGTCAATTAAAAAAAAAAAGAAATTATTAAAAAAAAAAAGTAAAGGCAGACCTTAAGTACGTTGCTCAATTATTGGTATATTACATCTGTAATAATCCCTCAATTTATTAGTTATCTGTTTAGTAAAGAGGAAGAAATTTAGTTAACATAGAATGCCTGTTTTATGAAATTTAGCATCTTCTAATGATCAATGCTTTTCTTTCTACTTATACCTAAATTTATGTGTTTAAAATTTTCTCACAATCCGGGGATGCCTGGGTGGCTCAGTCGGTTAAGCGTCTGCCTTCGGCTCAGGTCATGATCTCAGGGTCCTGCGATTGAGTCCCACCTTGGGCTCTCTTCTCAATGGGGAGCCTGCTTCTCCCTCTCCTTCTCCCTCTGCCTGCCACTCCCCCTGCTTGTTCTCTATCAAGTAAATAAATAAAATCTTTAAGAAAATTTTTTTTTTCTCACAATCCACATTCACTTGACCAGTTAATAAAAGATATTAACTTATCTTTTTCTTTCTAAAGAAATCTGGGCATTTGTCCATTTCAGTCTTCTAAGACCTCTGTGGTTGTCAGTGATTTCTAGGGAAGTGTTAATGTTGATCGAGTAATATCACCAGGTTAGGTATCTGGGATGTGATATGACTGTATCAAGTGTTCCCTTAAGTAAAAGTCTTCACCAGTTAGAGTTTTAAGTTCTCTTACCATGTCCTAGTTTTCCAGGTTGAATGTAATCTTTGACAGAGTAGATGGATTAAAAAAACAGAAACAGAA